CAGAAGTGGAGACCTAGTGTGAATATTTACTGCCTCAAGCTGATGTCACACTGGATCCTAGAAGGTGAAGAGCAAAACTCTGGAATTTTACAGGTAGTCTATTGTCAGAGAGGACACCCCACACTACTCCCAGATACAGCAAGACAAGCTCTTTATGAGAAGCCCAAGCCACATGAACACATTCAGTCTTCCCAGCTTTCTTCTATGAACATCAAGCCTCTATGGCCCTGACCTCTGAGGACCTGGAACACCGAGTGTGGTCCAGTCCTGTCTGATCTTCCTGTTAATTCTGGTGTTTTCTGTTGTGCCCCTTTCTTTCCACAATCCTCCTCTCAGATGCATACTGACCTGCTCTCTTTCTCCCATGTGTCTGAATCCTTCACATCCCCTGCCGTATCCACCAGGAGAGAACTTCTCAATCAGCCCACTAACTGACCAGCCAGTTCCTATCCTGGGGCTTTGACTTTTCCTTGAACCCCACACCAAATAGGGAGAAAAAGATGTTCTCCCTATTTGGATGTCACCCTCTAGAACTTGGTTCTCAATTTTGACCGTATGAATGGTATAAGACATTTTGAAAATTACTATATTGATACTTAGGTTCTGCTTCAGAGCAAACAAATGAGAATCTTCACAGTGGGAACCACACATTATAGTCTCAAAAACAGGCAGCCATCTTCCAGTTAACTTGCCAAAATGACCAACACAAAGGGAAAGAGGAGAGGCACTCCGTATATGTTCTCTAGGCCTTTTAGGAAACATGGAGTTGTTCCTTTGGCCACATACATGCGAATCTACAAGAAGGGTGATATTGTAGACATCAAGGGAATGGGTACTGTTCAAAAAGGAATGCCCCATAAGTGTTACCACGGCAAAACCGGAAGAGTCTACAATGTCACCCAGCATGCCGTGGGCATCATTGTAAACAAGCAAGTTAAGGGCAAGATTCTGGCCAAGAGGATCAACGTGTGGATTGAGCATATTAAACACTCGAAGAGCAGAAACAGCTTCCTGAATTGGGTGAAGGAGAACGATCAGAAGAAAAAGGAAGCCAAAGAGAAGGGTTCCTGGGTTCAGCTGAAGCACCAGCTTGCACCACCCAGAGAAGCACACTTTGTGAGGACTAACGGGAAAGAGCCCGAGCTGCTGGAGTCCATTCCATACGAATTCATGACCCAGTGTACAAAAGAGAAATAAAGGACCCAACTGCAGAGTTTTTCCTTAAAAAAAAAAAATTCTCAAAAACCCATGGTATAACTACAACTAGAAATTCAAAACAGTTCCCATCGCAGAGTTGCTGCTGGTCCAGGGACCACTGGTTGAACAGTGAAGATCCATAAACAGCTGGACTTGAGGAATAGGGACAACAAATAGGCTTCCCTAATTTTAAAAGCCCAAGTAAATGCCTACTGAGCAGCTGCCTGTGGGGTTGGGAAGAGGATGAGTTAAAGACTCAGAGATGAGAAGGGTCCATAGCATAAGAATATTACAGGATCCATTCTGTTATACACAAAGTACTGAGCAGAGTACCCAGTACATGGCAAGTGTTCTATGCACTGGACTTATGCTACATGGATTACCGTGTTTTAATGTCACTGAAGGACCACCACTGCAGTCCTCACACCAAAGGAGCATAAGTATTCAACTTTCCAAACTCTGATCATGCCAGACACAGTCCCACAGACTCCACCTGGCCTAAGAACACCAATGTATCATTCTTTAATCCCTCATCTATTCAATCTGCTTCCCAGGAGCTATGCATATGCTTTTGCAGTGTGCTCATGGCTGATACTGAATCCTCAACCTGGTTTATCTTCAACTGTAAGGACAGCCTAGCACTAGAAGCTAGTAGCCACAGTTGCTTACAAGGAAGTCAGAAGGGCATGATCACAAACAGTACTCATAGGTACTCCAAGCATATCCACGCTTCTCCTTGCTTCTCAAACTCAAATTGCTAACCTTTTCCACCACCATACAGGGCCTTGTTCTGCAAGTGAGATACTGGGGTATTGTGGGTCCGGCAGGGTTCATGAATTCCTGGCTCATGCCAGGCAGCTTGTTCCAGGACAGCATGTTGAATGGTAGAACCACTTCATGCTCTGCTGCCTGCCTCCTTAATATCCCCCTAGGACCTCAGCCACTCTACTACAATTGGTGAGTGGTTGATCTAATGAGTGGGAACATCACAGTAAATTTCCACTTTGAACATGTGCCCAAAAGTTCGGTTTTAAACGGCTGCTCAAATTGCAACATTGTGTGGCAAAGGACAGCCGCTATTTGGAAAAGCATCCTGTTTGATACAAGCTATAGAATATGAAGCTTGTTGTGAAATCGCTTGTACATCTCAGTTCCACTACTGAGAATGCTTCCCAGGCATTCTTGTCCCAAAAAGCTAAGTGGAGAGTTTTAATTTGAGAAATACGAGGAGGGATTCTTGAAACAGAACTGAGTCATATAAGCAATGCCTTTGCCATCTCAACTCACCAGAAGAATGTATATAAAAAACATAAGAGATGAGAAAGCTCCCTGCCCAGTGAAGGGTATTTAAGGCCAAATCAAGACTGTTCATTGAATCTGTTTATAAATGAGACAGAATAAAATTTTAACGGAAGGATGAGAATCAGCACTCAGGGAGACTTTGATGCCTGGGTGGCCAGAAATTCCAGAGTCACAAGCATAAGTCTTGGGGGAAACTAGCTTCAAATGATTAATCTTCAGATAAAAAAAAAATACTCATAGCTGCTAAGAACATTAAAGTTAGGAATAGTCTTCAATGGGCAGTCCCCAGAGCCAATTGATTCCAAACTTAGCATTGGGGGACACTTTAGACACCGTCCCTTTGTTCAAACCACACCCTCCACATCAATTAAGCCATGATAGCTGAGAATAGGGCTTAGCTCTCCTTAATTTTTATGGCTTCCAACATGTAGCCAAGTTGAGGGATTTGGGCATTTAGTGTCTTTGTTCATAAAAGGGACAGGATCCAACTAGACCAGTGACTTGTCACTCTGGCTACATGTCAGAATCACCTTGTGGAGGATTTTAAAACACTAACGTCTGCCTCATCTGTAGAGATTCTGCCTACTCTATGGCTCCTGAACACCAGCACTTTTAACATGTTCCTAGGTGTTTCTAATGTGTACATAGCCCAGTGGGTGGCCACTGTACCAGATGCTTTTACCAAGATTCCCTCTACTGTTCCCATGTTAAGGATCTAGTGAATTCCAGCTGAAAATGCACTGGAGGAGTTTTCTGCCCAGCAAATTCACTCATCTTTACATGTGAAGCAGGGACACCTAACTTTGGAGGGGCCTAGGGATCCCTTTAATACTTCACAAACTATTGGCTGGGTGTATATGTATCTGTACTCATATGCATAAGTATTCAAAAAATACCTTTAGCTTTTATCAGATGCTCGAAAAATTTAAGACTATTATCTTAAAGGCAAGAACAACATGATAAATTCAAGAGAATTAAAGCATAAATGGGATAAACCTGATCTCAGCTCCAGTTAGGATTTGGGCACACCTACTGCCGCCTGGTGGCTTGACATCTTTATTGCAGGCTTAGTTCAAACCTGGATAAAGTGACAAATGTTAAGGTAACAGATGTGAAGAGTCCAGATCCAAAGCAGAAATTGTGTGTCTGGGAGTGAGAGCAATGCTAAGCTAGCTGATAATTCTCCCAGGGTTGTAACCTTCCAAACATACAGGTAAGTGGGCTGCCCATTCAGAGATTTTGCATTCCTGACCCTAACTGGGGAAGGATAGAATTTTTTTTTTTAAATCTCTTTATCCTGATTTTTGTAATCAATATGTCTTCATTTGAATCCTGATGTTCTCTTACTAACCATGTGACTTTAGGAAATGTTTTTGAGCCTTTACATTCCTCATATAAAGTAGGAGATAAATATTTCCAAGATTGCTACAAAGAATAAATAATAACATATCTATAAAAGCCTCTGAATAATACTTAGATCAATATCCCAATACATTACTGGCATTCACAGGTTTTCTTTTCCTATTAGTACACCCTACTGGTCTTGTCCAAGTTATTGAGTTTCCCAAAAAAAATCCATCAGACAAGTAAAGTAAAGCCCACCCACTTTCCTTTCTGGTGTTAGCAGGATGACGAGACAAAATAGCAAAAGGCAGCTCAGCCCTCCGCATCTCCAGTTACACATGCAACTGTAGGATCCATCCAACCACACAAATCAACCCAAGAGGGTTCAACCCACCGTGAATCAAAGCTATTACCCCCAAATTGGGCCTTACTGAACAGCTACACACTTTTTCTCATCATTATTTCCTAAAGCCCTTGACATAGCAAGCAAGTTTCATAGTGCTGGTATTGTATTAGATACTCTTAGGAATCTGAAAACCACTAAACAGGCAGATCTGTGAGGGCACTATGCCATCACTAGGCCATTCATATATAATTATATAGGGGACTTGAGCATCTATAGAATTTGGTATCCTCTGGTGTCTCAGATCCAGTTCCCTACTTACATAGAAGGATATGTCATCCTAAATCCAGGGAATCTATATCTCACAGGAAAAGGTCACCCTAAAATGCAGATACCATTCCTGTCTTTCTGAGTTCCAATAGCTGAGCAGTTTCTCTATTCGAATGCAGCCTTTATTCTTGCACATCTGGCACTCTGGACAGGGTCAAACCTTCCCGTCACATACATAAATGGGCAACCATACTCCACCATGGCAGCTGCAAGCTCTATTTCACATTAGAGAATTACACCAGCCACTAGAGAAATCATAAATGGGCCATCAGCCCTTGTCTGTCCCAAAGCTGGTCTCTCTCATACCAAACCGTCCCAAGAAGATAGTCCCCAAATTCTTCCATAAGCCTGCCCTGTCTATCAGGCCATCCACTACTGCACAGCGCCCTTACAACCTGCCTGGCCAAAGCAGAAACATCTAGCAGAAACACTAGAACCTCTCAGCAGCATCAATAAAACTTCAAGATGAACAACTCTCACTTACCTGGAGTCTGCTTGGCTGTGCGCACAGGGGTGTAGTGGTTTTTGGAGGTTGATCGGACCGGCGTGTTCTCTTTGGGAGAGGTATCGATGGCCGAGATGGTTTCTCTTTCACAGTGTGCTATAGGGATTGGTCCCTGTTGTCTTAGGATGTCAGCCAGAGCCCTAAACAAGGAGAATACACAGTGAGCCTCACTGAGCAGATGCACACAACCACAAAGAGGCAAACTTACAGTCATAGACACTCAGTTTTGAAACCATATCTGGAAGGAGCCAGAGATACAGCCATGAGCATTCAAAAGACAGTTTGATCTTTTGCTGGCCTGAAGGGGTGAGTATAGGGGGGAGGTTGGCATGGCCCTTAAAGGCTGTGAGCATAGTATCTTATTCTGTAATTCATTCCACACCTGTAAACAATAAGCTCTTTCAAAATACTAGTTTTCCTGATACCCATATATGCCACAACAGCACCCTCAGTGTCTCAATGACCCTACAGGAAAAAGCTGACGCTAATGGCCTTACAATGAACAGGGGGTTACTATCAATCAGATGGTCCAACCTCCCTATCCAAAAATATATGTCATGTAGCATAAGTTAGAAATTATTGACTTGCAGAAGTGCAGTATGCAGTCTATAGACCCAGCTGCTAGAGAAAATCTTGTCTTAAGAGCCAAGACAGGAAGGACAGATTTTTAAACGATAAGCATCAGGATAGATGGGTAGCACAGACAGTGAAGGTAAACACATTTTAGAGGAGGAGGCATGCACAAATGGGAAGGGACACAGAGAACGTGCCAGAGTGGAGACTCAGGGACAAGAGCTCCGGCTTGATTGACTCATGCCATGCTTCAGCTTTCAAACACGCACTGAGTGGGGGACTCAGCAGGCATCAGTCGCTGCAGGGACGAGTGGAAAGGTGCCTAGTTCTGTTCTCTGGTGACTCACAAATTAAAACAAGTCCCTCTGCCACCAGGTTTTAGTCAGGAATCCCTCATTATGAGTGATATGAGATACCCACTGGCGCTGGGAAAGAGGGACATTTGGGGAATGATCAAAGGGAGCAGCAGAAAAGTGTGGTAAGCCACAGCAAAGCACTCCTTGTCAGTGTCATGCCCATTCCTGCTAAAGCGCTACACCTCAAATTTTTCATGAACAGGACAAAAATCCTGTCTTCTCGGGGTCTCCCTAAGGCACCGGCCTTCAAAGCCTCTTCCATCTGAGATATCGCAGCTCTTCCCATGGCTTCCCTTATCCCCATGTCTATCTAGCTCCAGAGCTCCATCCTCCTGGAAAGTGACAACTACGGCCCCTTAGATGTATCTATGCAAACCGTTCCCTTCTGCTGTGCTGCCAGGAACAGGGTGAAGCTGCCTTGAAGAGCATTAAGTTGGCAATCTGGTCATTTAGTGGCACATATACAGAAATTTCACATTTTCAAGTGCTTTCCCCTAGCTGGCCTTCTGTTCTCGCAGCCTGTCAAAGAAAGAGCAGATACTCACTGCTCACCACGCTCACTCTGCTGAACTGGCAGCAAGAGCCAAAGCTAAGTACTCTGTGAAGGAAACCCAGCTAGCCCAAGTCCAGGGTCAGTCTGGAGTGCCATCATTCAGGGCCTGAGAAGAATGAAGGCAATGTCCCAGAGAGTCACAGAAAAGGTCTCTCAGCTCTACTGCTGACCAGCTACAGATTTTCAGCAGATCTTAATCTTTGACACAGAAATTTAATAATTTTCTCCAACAGTGAAGGGCTAGGTTTATACAAAGACAAACTTTAAGATCTTTCCTGATTCTAAAACTGAATTCTCTCATACATTTTTTTCAACATGTTTGGTATCTTCATTTCTTCACCCTTTGAATTATTAGAGACATCTTCCTATCATCTTTCCATGTTTTAAAAGACTGAATTACAAATTATGATAGACATATAGACCAAAGGAATATAATTGAAAACTCAAGCACAAACTTCTATATTTACTGTCAATTCTAAAGAAAAGAAAAAGGAAAAAAAAGACAAACATTAGGGCTGAAAAGAAGATTCAGCTGTTAGGAGAGCACACTGCTCTTCCAAATCCAGACTCAGACCCAGGTTCGGTCCCCAGAACCCAGGTCGGGTGGCTCACAGTGGTCTGTAACTCCAATTTCAAGCGATCCAACACCCTCTTCTGGTCTCCTTGAGCACATATATGGTTCATATAAATTCATGCAGTCACATTCATATGCATACAAATTAAAAAACACATCTTTAAATTTTTTAATTAAAATTTTTAAAATACCAAATATTAGTAGAGAAAGAACATTTATAAAACTGGCTAAGAGTTACTAGTTTTCCTTGCTAGATCTTAATCTCACACTAACATACAAATTAATTCAAAAGGGATCCTACACATAAAATTTAATCCAAGCACTATAAAGTCTTAAAATATAAATGCAAGTCATTGTGGCTTCTTAATCTGGGGATAATTTCTTACATGTAACACTGAAAGTCTAAGAGATATAGTGACATAAGAACAAGTGGAGATATTAAAATCATCACTGGCTCAGAGGAAGCCTTCACAGAAGCTGATGCAATCCACAGAATGGGAGAAAATGCTTGTAAAACATCTGATAGGCAGCTGAAGAGATGGTTCAGAAGTTAAGAGCACCTGTTACTCTTGTAGAGGACCCAAGTTCAGTTCCTAGCACCCAGGTGGTGGCTCATGACCATCCATAACCCCAGTTTCAGGGTATCCAACAGATGTCCTTCTGACCTCTGCAGGAAGCAGGCACACACAAGGTTCACACACATACATTTGAGCAAATCACTTATATACATAAAACAGGGCTTCTAAAAAAAACCTATAGAAAGAATCTTAATAAAGATTCTTAGTGTTCAATAAAACAGTCTTCAATTTTATAATGAATACAAGATTCAAACAGGCATTTCTCCAAAGTGTCAGCACCATTAATCCTTGTGGAAACTGCCCATCAAAATCACATTATGGTGGCCATGAATACATATGCAGACAGCCAAAACCAAACAAGAAGTTCATGGTGCCAGCTAGGATACAAATGTGGCTTCTCCACACTTTGCTGTTGGGGATGTAAAAAAAAAAAAACACAGCTCCTTTGGTAAACAGTTTAACAGTTTCTCAAAATGCCAAGAACACAGCAAATACATGGCCCAGCCTACTCCTAGGAGAAATGAAAAATAGATCTGCTTAGAACTAGTGTGTGAAGAAGGTTAAAGGAGCCATGAATAACAGCCAAGGGGTAGGAACAAGCCAAAAGCTCATTGGTTGATGAGCAAATAAGCAAAATGTGTTGTACTCACACAATAGAGTATTAATTGGTCATAAAAAGGAAAGAAGTAATGAGAGACACCATAGCATGGAAAAGCCTTTAAACACACCACCCTAAGTGGAAGGGGACATCCCCAAAGCCTAGGTCTATATAAAGTACCAGGTTGAGTAAATGCATGGAGAAAGAGAAACGCTATAGGTGTGGGCTTTTCCTTGGGGATGGTAATAACGCACAAAGCTTAAATAATGGTGACAGCTGCACAAAACAGAATAAAAAACCACAATCTTGTACATTTGGAAATGTAAGGATGAACATTAGGAAAATTAGGGAACATTAGGGAAATTCCATCTCACTAAAGCTCATACTGGGGAAACATCTTATAAAGACTCTACCCTACTTCTCTGATGCCCATGAAGAAGAATGGACTCACATGGTTAAACTCTTTGGTCAGGTGGACTCATTCTATTCTTAAGTGGGTTGATTTTTGTCCCCTCCTTTGTAACTTAGACAAATGGCCATATCTGGAGACATTTTGTTTGTCATGACAAGCAAGGAGGGGGTTGCTATTGGCATCTGGTGTGTGGAACTCAGGGATGGGTCTCAACATCCTACAGTGGGTAGTACAGGCTGCTCATCTTAAGAGAGTTATCAAGTATCAACAGTGGTGAGGTAAGGGACAATCTGCCCTGCACTGTGTGAACTGGGGGGCTAACTCCACAAACATCCAATCAAAACTGAATGCCAGCAGATTCTGGGGACACAGAGGTTCTAAGGGACCCAGAAGTGAGTGTTCTTTCTGTTGGAGTCTCCATGGCCCCTCAAGATACTCTGTCTGGTACCATAGTTTTGTCTACAGAGACAGTTTAAGTGGAAGTTCATGAGTGTTTTAACCTCATTGTCTATATCCCAGGACTGTAGAGCTCCTGAAAACCACCCCCCCAAGAAGACTTGCTTAAATGGCCACCTTCTTAAAAAGCAGCAGGCCCATTGGATCTGAGTGAGTAAGGTCTGGCTAAAACTTGACAATGAGTTATAACTCTGGGATACAGCTGAGCTATGGCTTCCAGTTCCTAGGTCATGTGATTACAGGAAACTGGTTCAGAGTGATCTTCTGTGGCCCAGTGAATTGGAATGAGCGAGGATTCCAGCCAAGTTGGAAAGGTGGGTTTACTGGAATATATACTTCTCAAACCTCCTGTATTATAACATATGACCTCTTGAACATATGTTATTCAAACGAGGGAATGGTGACCAGCCATAGGCTCCCAATCTCTATCAGGTCTTCAACATTCTCCAGAATCCAGCCTTTCCCACATCCCTCCCCACCCACCAACATGTTTAGGAGGACTGAGTGTACATCTGTCAGCTCCCCACCCTGCCCATCCCCTCAGCTCAGTGACCTCCGTCTTTGCTCTGCTTCCTCTCCACCTTCCATCCCTCAACTCTCCAGGGTGTTTGATAAATATTATTCTAATTCTGAAATGTGTGATCCTGGTCTCACCTAATTAAGTTGGATATGCCAGAGGAAATGAGTTAAGGACTGAGCTACTTTCTAACCACAGGAAAGAAACTTGGTCACTGAGGAATAATTGAAGATGCTTTGAAAGAATGGGCAGCAACTTTCAGGGTCTGGGGGACCAAGGCAGGGCAAAGCAAGAAAAAATAAGCAGGTCAGGAAAGAGAGAACATAGGAGCTAGAGTAGGAGGAAAGGAGAAGATGAGAGGAAACAGGAGGGGAGGAGAAGGGAGGAGAGGGAAGGGAAGAAGGAGAGACTCAGACCAGAAGCCTGGGCAGGAGAGAGGAGGGACACACACACACACACACACACACACACACACACACACACACAGTGAGAGAGGGAAAGGGAGAGGGAGAGGGGGAGGGGA